ATCTGTCCTCTCATCTAAGCATGTGCTTTGTAGTACATATACGATTCCATATAGATTTGCGACTTTTCACGTGAGGCGAGATCCACTCCACACCTCGGACGTAGTTTGGGTTAGGTTATATCTTAACAAAGTGGAGCAAAGCCCCCGCAGGGGGGGCGGAACATACTGTCTCCACGCATGTACTTCCGCCGTTGTACTGTTCCACATGGGTTTGCAACTTTCCACGTGAAGCGAGATCCACTCCACACCTCTGACATAGGATGGGTAGGGTTATTTTTAACAAGGTGAAGCCCCCCCGAAGAGGGGGCGGAACATACTGTCTCCACGCATACATTTTAGTACATACAAGTTACATACACTTGACAAAATGTGAATATTGGCTACGTAGTTCATGTCCACGTTTTCCAATATCCACAGCTGTTGCATTGCATTCGAGGATCACCTAAAACCCGGCCGTGGCAGCTCTCGGGCTTCTCTCTGCCTCGAGAGCTCGGAAGTAATTGAAAAAGTATTAACATTATAAATGTCGATTAAAATTTTTAACGTCTACCGTCGAAATATCAAACAATATAGCTTATAGCAGTTTCAAATTTATGATTTATTATTATACAAATATTTCATAAATAAGTATTAATAATTGTAACGTATTATAATAATATTACACGTTTATGTTGCAGCTTTTTGTATAATAATAAAAGATAAGATGAAATTTAAATTACTTGTAGCAAGAAAGATGCGTCGATAAAACTCGGTTGTCTCGAGAGATGACAGTAAGATGTCACCTTGAGTCAGTTTTTAAAATTGATTCGTTCTTCTTTAACTATGGAAAGAAGACCTGTTGGACTTGAGAAAAGGAAAATTTTTCTTCTTGAAAAAGTTTAATAATTTTAAAACATTTCATGTGTTTCACTTAACAGTCTTTTAACATTTATTTTTAATTTGCCATAATTAATTTTCTACTTGAGTCTTTGCAAATTTTAAAATTCATTCAAGACTTTATAATGATTATTTTAACAATTCAGACATTTTATTATATGTATATAATATCTAACGAAATATTGATATAAAAATATGAGTGTGACGAATAAAACTACTGATTTCTTAATTATAACAAAAATCTATTCAAGTCTGTAGTATTGTTAGTATTTTAAATAATTGGTGAAGATTAAAAATGTATACTTATCATTTTATCATTACGTGATAATTTCTTGATTTTACCGCTCGCACGTTTGCGGTATAGTTTTTCTTTTTAATACATAAAATCCTCGTCTATGTATAGTAAAGAAAAAGACGAAAGCAAAGATTAAAGTCGCTAATACACCTTTATTGAATTTCCAAGTACTAAATGTACCTTAAAATTAAGATCCTTATTTATAACAAGATGCTTATTCGCGATGAAAGAAAATGTTGACGTAGATTTGAGGAGAAATTTTCTTATCTCACATTAATGCATCGGAAAGAGAAAATAATATTAGTGATCCTTGGGCACAAGAATGACTTTTCCGCTTCTTTGTTCGTACCTGGCGCGCAGGCGAACGAATAGGCAGGTAACCGTGGTCACCAGGTAACTCACACAACGATGCTCGGGTACCGAGAAGGAGAGAGGGGCCGACGCAGGTCGACTGTTGAGCGAGGTGGCGGCGTTCTCCGCCACCGTCACGGCATCGGCTCGCACTGCTCGCAGTCTCGTTCGGCGGGCGTTCGTCGTCGGTCGAAGCTGGTGCGCGCGCGGGTGTGGAGGTAAAAGAGTGGAGAACGCACCTCTCGGAAATTTATTTTTTCACGGCGTGCAAAAAGTGCGAGCGGGAAAATTACGGGCCAGGGGGGAAGGAGCAGGATGTTGAGCGCGTGAAAGGGTGAAAGCGACGAGAAGAAGGAGCCGGAAAATGCGGGCGCGACACGTCGTGGCAGGTGAGTCAGGTCTCCCCCCTGTACGACCGCTGTCGCGGTTGCGGTCGCCATCGCTCCGTGCGAGCGTCGCGGGCCCCGACGCGACGCCGTCCAGACGCGAAACCACAGCAGAGAGACGCGAAATCGCGTTTCAGTTCGCTTCGATCCGCGATCGCGAATCCCAAATGTCAAATCCTCGATCGAGAATATACATGTACCTGGCGGATCGAGATATGGCGGCCTGCCAAATTGTCATTCATTCCAATTGTGGATCCTGGATGACTCACGGCAGATCCTCAATTGATGATCGAGCTATTGTGAATCAAGACAAATCGTTGTACATTTTTTGAAATTATTTTTTACTGCATATATACGTCATATGTTTAACAAATTAAATTCATAAGGCTCTGATGTGAAATCACAGATACGAAGTAATAAAGGATATAAGAGCCAAGACGGATGTTAGTGTCTAAAAGATTTTAATTTTTAAATTTATTGCGAAAAGTTTATCTTAGCCAGGGTTTGAACCTGGATCTCCCTCTCACTCTCTCACTCACGTCGTGAAAAAATAGGCGGGCACGTAACCAATTCGACCATCGAGGCATGCTATATATTTACATGTTTACATATGAACATAATTATACATGCATATATAATTACTCAATGTCAAATATTATTCGATAAATTCTGGATAGTGTTTGATCGTATCCGACAATAAAATTATTTGGAACCATCGATTTTAGATATAAACAGGCTTGAGGAATCTCTGTGATTAGTTCAAGTGACGAAAATTTTTGTAGCAAAAATTCTTTTTACGAATTTTTTAATAGTAAAATAAAACATCCACACATAAGCAAATTTAAAATATTCAAACTGTGCGATTGTTTCGGCAGATAATTTATGAATAGATTCGGGGACGAGGGACGATTGTGACAGGTGGGAAAAAATTCACCCTCGAAACATCCTGCACCTTATCCTAACCTAACCGTTTGCCTGAGGTACAGTTATGAGAAAAGCATATCGTTTCGCTCTAAAAGAGCCTAGTATTTCGGTTGTAGTCAACAGTCTCCGGGGCAATTGGCCTTGTATAGCAATGATTTATCGCATTTGCATAACTGGTAGAAGAATGTCACTGCCAGAGATATTATTCAGAAAACTGTATAAATTTGAAACACGAATATTTTTCTGAAAAAATAAAAATTAAAATAAAATGAAATAGAATAAAAGTTGCGAAACATGGATAAAATACAGCAAAAGATCGTATAATTAAAAAGAATGAGATGAATCTTAAAATGTTAAGAAAAGGGTAGATACATAAAGATATAATAGATATATATAAATAAAATTTTACTTCTCTCTCTCTCTCTCGTCTAGTCTACACGTTTTGTATTACCTTTTCGGTCTTGTATCTCGAGGTTTATCGCTCTCAGATTATCAGCTACTAATTTTGCTATTTTACAAATTTGGTTAACAAGATTTAGATATGTTATATCGCTTGGCTTCCTAGCGTTCTCTGAGAGCACGTGATGCGATAACGAGACGTACGTTGAATCTATTGAAATCTCCCGCAGGTGAGTTCAATACCAGAACGAGGAAAACTCTTTTAGCGCCTTATAATTGAATTTTTATTACACAGGCCTTTCTCTTCTATCGCGTAACGTTAATTTTTTTTAAATAATTGCGCCTTATAAATTTGAATTTGATGAAATTTATTTCGAGAGACACATTCTTTCGATTCTAATTAATTGAAATTTATATAATTTTCTGTAATATGAAAACACTCTCTAATTAAATTTTTCAAGCATTGTTTACTAATTTAATTTATTATTTGAAGTATTTAAAGGAAACAATTTGCATTTGTGACGAAGGAATTACAGCAGTGCCAAATGAGAGAATTATAACGTTGCGTGAATAATGGAATTTTCTAACGAGCGTGATAAACCAGTTGGACGTTCTCTTTCGTGGTATCGTACGTGACAATGAAAAATTCCAATTGCGTGCGATGCGGTATTAATCGATCGGAGCAACGAACCTCGTGATGCATTCACAAAAAGTAGAACGATTCAACAATCAAAAGCAAAAATGGCTTAAGCCAGTCGTCAAATCGCTTCGCTAATACTCTTCATTTTTCGGAAATGATTTAATCTCACCATTTGTATAATAACAACCATTGCATAATGTATTTGATAATAATATATCTGTGATTAGTTGCTTTCAATATATTCGACATCTGCCTACACAGAAAAAAAGTGTCAGATCAACTCTTATATACTCAAATTAACGTGTTCATGTTAATTTGTTTTGTACATACGAAACAATCTTCTTGAAAGCATTTAATAATCTTACAGTCCAACAATATTGCAGTTTTGTTTAAATACTATATAATTGTCACTTCAAGAGTACATATAATTATTTTGACACTAAAATCATTTTAATCATTATAATCTTTGATTTGAAAAATGTGTTATCTTCTATCTAATATATTGTTTCCTTTCCATTCAAGAAAATTATTCTTAAATAACCAGCATATATTTTTCTTTATTGAATTATATAAAATAGCTTCATTCAAGTAAGTTTTTCTTGTTTTAACGCGATATAATCTCATTTCAAGATTTTCACGTTGAAACTAACCCTATTTTCAAAATAAGAATATTCTTTTTTTCTGTGTATTGTAAGAAATGTTGGATTGCACATGCGAATTGTGATGGCAAACAATTATTTTAATTCGCTAACGGTTAAGGATTTTTATTAAACTGTAGGAACAAAGTAATTAAATTCATCGGCAATTATGCTTCGCTGATCCTTGGAAAAGTGATGTAATTATACCGATAAATTCTTGGACATTATTTTTATGTGGAAAAACGGACGTCTTCGCGTTTGACGTGTCTGATTTTTTATTTTTGTGTATTAAATCTTATTTTATTCGATTCGATAAATTTTTCACTTTAATAGCAAAATTCTGAAATAAAGAAATACTCACTTGAAAGCCAAGCTTGAAAGCCAAAATACTCAGGTACTATAATATATACCTATATATCTTTTCATTTCGGTTCGGAATACCTAATGACTTTTACGTGCCGCCGACAATGGAACGGATTCGTCTCGGACTGGAATTTCCCTTTTGCGGATTAGAAGAAAAACGGGAAAGAAAGAAGAATGCCTCTTTTCTGTAATAGATAAAATTTTTGCGGAGGCATGTGATTGCAAATGAGACGTTTTTCTCATCCCGGGAAGAATAAATGAGGCTCGTGGAATAATTCACAGGCTGGTTATCTCCCAGCGAGTGAGCTTCCGCTTTTATGCCCACCTTTCCGGTCACGTAAAAGCGCGCATTGACCGCGCACGAGGAGGCGCTCTTTCGTAACGGTATAAACTTTTACCTCTTCGGGATCACCGGTGTGGATCAGTGACCGACCCGAGAGAGTCACTACGATGACCCGTGAAATCGCCGTTCTCAGACGACAATCGTCAGAAGACGAGTACTATGCTAAATTACAAACGGTACAGCAAAGATCAATTATCGAATATCTTTACAAAAATCTCCAAAAAATAAATAATTACATTTTAATACTTTCTCTCTCAACTTTAAAGGCTCTTTTTATAATATTTACCTTATGTAAGCTTATAAAATTGTCTTGAATCTCGAAAAGTAATGCAATCTTCGTAATTGTTAAATTACAAAAATGTATGAATTTTGTTACGTATCTTGCACGAGTGGAACTTTATGTTCTCCGGCTTCCCTCGTCACAGACGATCACATTGTCCAACTTTCCGAAACTGTAAAGGCCCACGCCAGACACGGGAAAATGTCCTTTGTGCGCGTCATGAAAGATGTTTCAGACTGGAGCGACAAACGTCTTATCGCGGTCCAGGAATTTCTGTGCAGCTCGCGATCGTGCCGTAGCAATCTTTTCGTATGGAAATACGAAAGCTGACGTGAGTCTAGATAAGCGACCACCTGTGTAAAAAATATCATTCCTGTGAGTCATCTAAACTTTTCGAACAATATCGAGAGACTCGAAGCAACAAACTGCGAGTCTGCGGCCGATAAATAATATATCTATAATTGATGAATCGTTTGAAATGCATTAATTTAATTGAAAGCGATGACACGAGGGTTTACTAATGGAATAACACATTTACATAACATTATTGACGCATATCTACCTTGCCTAGAAAGTGTCCCTAAAAATATTCATTAAAATTAAATTTGAATCAACACATTTTATTGTGATTTTATTATTGCATTTAAATTCAAGTCTCTACTTCGTATATGAGTGTAAATGATAAGGTAGCGGCACCAAATATCGCCTACCCTAGCTATCTTTTTATCCCTTTGGCCACAACGTGGCCACAAAAATGGTTGAAAAAGTTTTGAAAGAGCTTAAAATAACGGACAGACATCACTTTATTTGTCACCAACTGGAAAATGTAAGCGTTTGCTAACTTAGTTTTTTTTTCGCAAATTTTGTAACGAAATGGAAAGTGCCATTTTTTGAAACGCGTTCCTAATATGGCCTACTTGTAAGCTTAATATTAAATTAATTGTTAATAATAATTGTTTGGACGTTTAATTGTAATACCATCTTTCGATTCTCTGATTCATACTCTCTAACGTGATACTCTTGGAAAGAAAAACAAGCAAAAATGCAATTACACTACTTCCCGTAAGCCCCTATCACTAGATCAGCCGACGTTATTTTACAAAAGTGTCATTATCGTTACAACTATATTAAAAATACTGGCGTTGTTCATAAAATAAAAGAATTATCCTACTTTACATACAATTCTGCCCACAGTTAACAGATGTCAATATTAGTTTCCCTAAAACGGCGTTGGGCGATATTGGGTAGGCGATATTTGGTGCCACTACCCCATTGTTAAAGATTACAAACGTATCGTACACATACTTGAATACTTATAAGGAAAGATTCACCAAGCTGTCGAGATATTCAAAACTTTTAAAAATCTTCGGTTTCAAATGATATTTGAAGTAATTCAAAACTGCACAAGATACTGAA